GATAAGGGGGTTATCTTCACAATCTGCCTGGAAATACAGAGCCCTGCCCCATGAGCCACAGGGCCCAATCCAGTCCTTAGAAACCCGGGGACACCTAAGCCCCCCACACCTAAAGCCCCAGCCTTGGTCACCACCCCAGTCCCATTTACCACCGGACCTTCCCCTGCCACTGCCTCCCAAGAAGATACTCCCTCGACTGGACAACGGATATTTGATTTGGTCCAGGGAGCCTTCTTTGTCCTTAATCAAACCAGGCCAGATATGATATATAATGAACTCAGGAATGCCATGGCACAGACCTAAAGGTATTAGAACGGTCAATAACTAAATTAGAAGAGTCACTGGCTTCCCTGGCAGAGGTGGAGGGAGTTAGATCTGCTGTTCCTGAAGGAAGGAGGACTCTGTGCTGCCCTTAAAGAGCAATGGTTTCTATGTTAATCACTCAGGGCTAATCAGGGATTCAATGGCCAAACTCAGAGAAAGACTGGCTCAAAGACAGAAGGAGGCCGAGGCTCATCAGGGATGGTTCAACAGGACCCCATAGTTGACCACCTTAGTTTCCACTCTAATAGGACCCCTGTTCATACTCCTCCTGCTCCTGACATTTGGCCCTTGTCTCCTCAACAGGCTCTTACAGTTATATGTGAGAGACTATCACTCAGGCCCTTGTCCTTACTCAACAGTATCTAGCCATACCGAACATTGAGGTCCCCTGAGGTTTTAAGATTAAAACCTTGCAAAAAAAGGAGGAAACGAAAGACTGAAAAATTAGCAAAGAAATAAAATAAAGCCCAGATAAAGAAACTCCCCAAATGGAATGTAGGGCGGCCGGATTCAATGGCAAAACTCAGAGACAGATTGGCTCAAAGACAAAAGGAGATCGAGGCTCAGCAGGGATGGTTCGAAGGATGGTTCAACAGGACCCCATGGTAGACCACCTTAGTTTCCACTCTAATAGGACCCCTGTTCATACTCCTCCTGCTTCTGACAATCGGCCCCTGTCTCCTCAACAGGCTCTTACAGTTTATATGTGAGAGACTTTCCATCACTCAGGCCCTTGTCCTTACTCAACAGTATCAAGCCAAACCGAACATTGAGGTCCCCTGAGGTTTCAAGATTAAAACCTTACAAAAAGAAAAAGGAGGGAATGAAAGACTTAAAAATTAGAAAAGAAATAAAATAAAGCCCAGATAAGGAAACTCCCCAAACAGAATGTAGGGTGGCCTGACCCAGAAACTGACCAAGGCCACTAATATGACTTAGTGCCTGGAATTTACCAGCCATCAGCAATTACTCCCTTACAAGGCCATAAGATAACTGGATACCAAGAATTTCCAGATGGCCACCTTCCCCCGAGGGGCTCATGAAGGAAACAGATTGCCCTACTGGCCAATGTGTCAACAGTTAACAATTAGGGGGCCCTATGAATCAAAGAGATAGCTACACCTACCATTTTCTTAGATTGATTAGCATACCCTAAGGTGTGCGGGTTTTACATCCAGTGAGTCAGGAGGCCACCTAATTCCCAGCCCTCCCCTCAAGACAAATGCCCTCCTAGGAACCTGTGACTCTGGTCATGTACTCAACAGTCAGAGAGTCTCGAACCCTCCCTATGCTTATGGTTTTTACCTTTAAAACCGCCCTTGCCAATAGATCCCGGCTTCTCTCTAGCCTGCTGAGAGGGCCCATTTGTACAAACAGTTCCCCTCTTGCTCGTTGCATCAACTGGACTGGACATTGAGTTCATGTGGGACGGGCTGGATCCGGGAGACTCCTCGCCTCGAGGGTCTTTCACTACCATCCGTAATACTCAGTATTTCTGTGAAATCCAAAGGGAAGTAATGTTCTCAAGGTCATTATGGAGACAGATGTCACTCTAGCCTCTGTTGGCTCTAGCCTCTTTAGGGCACAGCTCTTGCTCTGAGTTTCTGGGGAAGCAGCTCTCTGTGGCTGCCGTTAATCCCAAAAATCACCAGAAAATCCAGTTAATACACTTTGACATTATTCAATCTACTTGTATTAAAATTTTAAAGACTGACCAAGATATAATTGGTCAGGACTACCACATGGAATAATTCCAGTTGTGTGGCTTCCAGACACTTTTTGGTGGGACTTATATGGACAAAACCCATACTTTCCCATGAGGCTTTGTGTTATTTTCCAAGAACTACAACTCCCAGAATGCCAGGAAGTTACCTGGTCACTATGTGTCTTATGTGTCTATGTGTCTTATGTGTCTATTTGTTTGATGTTTGGTATTTGGTAAGGACCATAGAGGGAGATAGACGTATCCTGAGACTCACGGTTCTGCTCTGAACAGACGTGTTCTGAGGAGGTTCGTGGTTTGGCCCGGACAAAAGTCTGAGGGTCATTTGGAGGAGGGAGAAGAGACGAAGTCTCACTTCTCTGGGGAGACGGCCAGCCCCAGACTTTGCTTCCCTCCCGATTTGTAATTCTGGTTTGGCGCCACCTGTCTACCGCACAGTTTGTCCTGTTTGTTGTATTTTGTCTTGTTGTTCTTGTCATTTGTGTCAATCTCTGCTTCTCCCCATGGGTCAGCAACTAACTACCCCCTAAATTTGACTTTAGGTCACTGGCAGGACATTTTGAACCGTGTGCAATGAATCAGTAGAAATCCGGAAGAAAAAATGGCGGACTCTCTGTTTCTCAGAATGGCCTGCTCTCAATATAGACTGGCCGAGAGATGGTACCTTTGACCTCACTACTATCTTGCAGGTCAAAACTCGTGTTTTCCAGCCAGGACCGCAGGGCTACCCTGACCAGGTTCCCTATGTTGTCACCTGGGAGAGCCTGAGCTGAGATCCTCCTCTCTGGGTCAGGCCCTGCCTTCCACTCCCTCCTCTGGGCTCCTTCCCGACACCTCTGCCTTCGCCCGTTCCACTCATCCCTACTCTTTCTGCCCCCCCTTCGACTTCCTCCCTGTTCATCTTGACAGAGCCCCGATCTCCCAACCCTAGGCCCAAAGCCCCCACCATCTTGCCCAATACACAGGAGTATCTCCTCCTCCTGGATCCCCCTCCTCCTTACCCCAATGCCCAGCAGGCAGCACCCCAGCTGCCAGCACCTGACCAGAGGCCCCCATCGCCCAGCTCTACTATCAGAGCCCCCCAGGACCCATCGCTACCGTCCACGCAGAGACAGGACACCGGAGGGGCCTGACAGAGACACATAACACCCCCTTATCACAGGACCCCCAGGCCTTGACAGGTCTTATTGAATCTATCCTTATCACCCACCAGCCCACATGGGATGACTGCCAGCAGCTCCTGCAGACCCTCCTCACAACCAAGGAGAGACAACGGGTACTCCTAGAGGCCCAGAAGAATGTGCAGGGGCCAGATGGCAGACCCACCCAACTCCCCAATGAAATAGATGAAGTCTTTCCCTTGATCTGACTGACAGATTGGGACATCAACACAGTAGGGAACACAACCGTCTCTATCGCCAGACTCTGTTGGCGGGTCTCAAAGGGGCAGGGAGGCACCCCACAAATTTGGTCAAAGTATGTGCGGTAGTTCAGGGCTTGGAAGAAACCCCGGCAGGGTTTCTAGAGCATTTGATGGAAGCCTACAGATTGTACACCCCTTTTGACCCCCAGGCTCAGGATTGGGAGGCCAATGTAATCATGTCATTCACTGGACAATCGGCGCCCGACATACGTACAAAACTACAGCACCTTGAGGGGCTATAAGGGTACACCCTTCGAGACTTAGTAAAGGAAGCAGAAAAGATTTTCAATAAGAGGGAGACTCCAGAAGAGAAAGAAGAAAGATTACGAAAGTTGCAGGAGGACAGGGAAAATGCGAGAGACAAAAAGCGAAACCAAGAGCTGACTAAGATTTTGACGACTGTAGTTCAGAGATCAGAACATAGGCCAGGTCAGACAGGGAACCTGGGAGACAAAAGGAGAACAAGAGTGGAGAGAGACCAGTGCACTTACTGCAAGGAAAAGGGACATTGGGTCAAAGATTGCCCAAAGAATCCAAGGTGGAAGCCCATTCCCGTTCTCTCTCTGGAAGAGGGAGATTAGGCCAGTCAGGGCCAGGTGCCTCCCCCTGAGCCCAGGATAACTCTTAACTTAGGGGGGCAACCCGTGACTTTCCTAGTGAAGGCACCAGCTCCCCATTTCGACAGCCATAACAGCCCTGACTCAGACCCGGGGACCCCAGGGCAGAGGGACCGCCTGGGTCCAGGGCGCCACCAGAGGAAAGCTACACCGATGGACAACCAAACATAAGGTCCACCTGAGCACTGGACACGTGACTCACTCTTTCTTGCTGGTGCCCAAATGCCCCTACCCCTTATTAGGGAGAGACCTCCTCTCTAAAGTAGGAGCCCACATTCACTTCCACCAGAAGGGGGCCACCATCACGGGAGAGGGGGTACAACCCCTCAAAGTATTGATCTTACGGCTCGAGGATGAATATAGACTTCTAGAGGATCCCTCACCCCCCTCGTCGACCATGGAGTCTAGCTGGTTAGAAAAATATCCCCAAGCCTGGGCAGAAATAGCAGGCATGGGGTTAGCTAAAAAACAGCCTCCTTTAATTATCAACCTCAAGCCCTCAGCCACCCCAGTGGCCATTAAACAATATCCCTTGAACCCAGAGGGCCGGGAAGGAATCAAGCCACATATTAATAGACTTTTACAACAAGGCATCCTTAGGCCCTGTCTCGGCCCTTGGAACAACCCCCTTCTCCCCGTAAAGAAACCAGGTACGGGGGAGTACAGGCCATTTCAAGACCTGCGGGAGGTCAACTGAAGAACTGAGGACATCCATCCGACAGTGCCCAATCCTTATAACTTGCTGAGTATGTTGCCTCCAAGCCACATCTGGTACACAGTGCTAGATCTTTCTAAAGAATGCAAAAGATGCATTCTTTTGCCTCAGACTGGAGTCCCCAGAGTCAGCCCACATTCGCATTCAAATGGAAGGACCCCGAGACTGGGTTTTCTGGCCAGCTCACTTGGACACGACTCCCCCAGGGGTTCAAGAATTCACCAACCCTCTTTGATGAGGCCCTACACCAAGACCTAGCCGACTTCCAGATCCATAACCCTAACCTGATCCTGCTTCAATACGTAGATGACCTCCTCCTGGCAGCGCAATCTGAACAAGACTGCCTCCAAGGTACCAGTGCCTTACTGCAAAAGCTGGGGGAACTGGGGTACAGAGCTTCGGCAAAGAAAGCCCAACTTTGCAGGGAGCAGGTCACCTACTTAGGATACCGGCTCCAGGGAGGCCAGAGATGGCTAACAGAAAGCCGTAAGCAAGCTGTGGCCCTGATTCCACCACCCAAGAATGCCCGGGAAGTTCAGGAATTCCTGGGCAGTGCGGGGTTCTGGATCCCTGGTTTTGCGGAGCTGGCAGCCCCACTGTATCCTCTGACTAAAGCTAGCACCCCTTTTACATGGACAGAGGAGCATCAGAAGGCCTTTGATGGCATAAAAAAGGCCTACTGTCTGCCCCTGCACTAAGCCTCCCCAACATAAACAAGCCTGTCACCCTTTATGTGGATGAAAAGGCTGGGATGGCAAAAGGGGTCTTAACACAACAGCTCGGACCCTGGAAGAGACCTGTAGCATACTTCTTTAAGAAATTGAACAATGTGGCCATGGGCTGGCTCCCCTGCCTCCGGTTGGTGGCTGCTGTGGCGGTTCTGACCAAGGACGCAGACAGATTGACTCTGGGTCAGCCACTCACAGTGATAGCCTCTCATGCGATTGAGGCAGTGGTCCGACAACCCCCTGATCAATGGCTTTCGAATGCACGAATGACACATTACCAGGCTCTGCTCCTTAACCCAGACAGACTGCGATTTGGGGCAGCAACATCCTTAAACCCGGCTACCCTCCTTCTGGATGCGGATGCAGAAACCGCTCCGCCCCATGACTGCCACCTGATCCTGGCCGAGACATGCAGAGCCCAAGAAGACTTGATGGATCAACCGCTACCAGGAGCCGAGCACACCTGGTTCACGGACGGGAGCAGTTTTCTGCAAGACGGTATACGAAAGGCAGGGGCGGCGGTGGTGGACGGGCAGACTACAATATGGGCCAGTGCCTTGCCGCCAGGAACCTCAGCCCAGAGAGCAGAGCTGATTGCCCTGACCCAAGCACTCAGAATGGCTGAAGGTTGTAGAGTCAATATCTATACAGACAGCCGTTATGCTTTCGTTACAGCCCATGTACATGGAGAAGGGGGACTTTTGACTTCAGCAGAAAAAGACATTAAAAATAAGACTGAGATCCTAGAGCTCTTGCAGGCTCTTT